ATATGAATCAAAAATTACTATCCGTTATGAAGATATGATCATTAGTTGATTTTTACAAAATGGCGCCTGGATGACGTCACGATGACTTTGAGTCTTTGAAAAGTCACGCAGTTCTAAGTTAGACTAAGATCTATCATCATTGAAAGATTCATAACAATGGCTTCATTCAGTCTTGAGATATCCTGCGAACAAATTCGAGGAAGAATAATAATAAATAACTAGACTTTAATTCGTCACTTAGACGAATTAGGTGATACGTATGATAATGGTCTACATAACGAATAATGCATTAGACGATATATTATTTTGTAAAATGCTTCTCCCATTCATATGCTTCTCCCATTATGATCTTTTCATATGTCAAGATTAAATTGTGTCTCCTTGATCATCATGGATCTAGGGAAGATAGATTGAAACAATATATGACCTTTGACCCTTTGCAGTAACCAGTTACACATTTGACTCTAATTTACATGATGAAGAACACCTTTTGACGATTTTATCTTATTCAAAGAAATGAAAATGTAATTGATAAATGATTATCATCATTATGATAATGATGATCATGATGATCATGATCATGATCATGAGCGCGATCATGACATCTTATTGAAAAAATGAGGGTTGATTTAGATAGCATATAGTCTCAGCTACAACATACTCAAAAATCAACAAAATCCAAGCCGAAATAACGGCGATATTGCTCGCAAAAGACACGAATGTAGACTCCAGATTTTAGAAAAAGTCATCTCCCATAGGGATTACACGCAAAAAGTAATGGATTAAGTGAAAATAGGGTAATAATAAAGTAAAAAGGGTTATTTATGACATTATTTGCGAATCTACGTGTTTAAAAAATCAAAAGTGATCGTACAGTGAAGGTCAAAAGGAAAAAAAAGTGAAAAAAAAAGTGTTGGAGACACCCGGACTCGAACCAGGGATCTCGAGGTTGGAAGTCAAGTGCGTTACCGATATACCAAAACATCTCCCATAGCGATTACACGTAAACGGGAAATGGAATTCAGAAATCCTACTTTGCAAGTGAAATATGAGCATGATCCCGGCATCTAATCGAAAAATAATAGACACACTTTTGATAGCTCATTGTCTCAGCTACAACATATCCAAAGCTCAGCGAAAACAAAGCTAAAACAACGGAGATTTTGCTCGCGAAAGACAGGAGTGTAGAATCCAGTTTTGAGAAAAAGTCATGTCCCATAGAGAATACACGCAAAATGCGAAAAAATGACATGCCTCCTTTAATCGCAGAAATATGCCATGATACCTTTGTCAAACTGGAAAATTGTGGATACTGCATTTGTAGAAAATTGTCTCAGCTAGAACATATCAAATTTTGAAAGAAAATTGATCCATATTTACAGAGATACAATCAATTTTCCAAAAATATGCTGACGTCATAATATGCAAATTACAATTTTGAGTTTGGAGGCCATTATGATGACGTCATGAGTTAATTGAGGATAAAATGAGACATGAAATCATATCTCCGACTCATGATCTATCCAAATATGGAAAAATATTAGGAGTTTCTATCTATTCTAAAGAGTTACAATGAATTTTATATAAGCATGTTTTTGCCCATGTATTGTGGATAAAGATAACGCAAATCCGCGCGTGCTGTCAACTTTGACGGACGCTCATTGCGTTAATAAAAGGTGAACAAGTTATCAAAATGCTTGGAAAAATGTACCAAATATGATGACAGAAAAAAAATCGGCGATTCTATGTTGCAAAATGCCAGTACGCGCGAAAACGCGCGCGCATGCGCGTGCGCGTAATTTTTTTATCAAATGCTCCATATGGCCTGAAACGTATGTAAAAAAAATTTGGAATGATTTGGAGCATTTTAAATTTTTGCGCCCGCGTAAACGCGCGGACGAACGCGCACGCGCGCATTTGCGCGTTTTTTTAAAATTCAACTTTACCGGACGGATATTTATTTTAATCGTGGTAATTATGAATGAGAAATAACTTTCCGTTATGAAGATATGATCATTAGTTGATTTTCACAAAATGGCGCCTGGATGACGTCACGATAATTTTGACTCTCTAAAAAGTCACGCAGTTCTAAGTTAGACTAAGATCTATCATCATGGCAAGTTTCATGATAATGGCTTTATTCAGTCTTGAGATATCCTGCGAACAAATTCGAGGAAGAATAATAATAATAAACTAGACTTTAATTCGTCACTTAGACGAATTAGGTGATACGTACGATAATGGTCTACATAACGAATAATGCATTACACGATATATTATTTTGTAAAATGCTTCTCCCATTCTTATGTTTCTCCAATTATGATCTATTCATATGTCAAGATTAAATTGTGTCTCCTTGATTATCATGGATCTAGGGAAGATAGATTGAAACAATATATGACCTTTGACACTATGCAGTAACCAGTTACACATTTGACTCTAATTTACATCATGAAGAACACCTTTTGACGATTTTTATCTTATTCAAAGAAATGAAAATGTAATTGATAAATAATTATCATCATTATGATAATGATGATCATGATGATCATGATCATGATCATGAGCGCGATCATGACATCTTATCGAAAAAATGAGGGTTGATTTAGATAGAATATAGTCTCAGCTACAACATACTCAAAAATCAACAAAATCCAAGCCGAAATAACGGCGATATTCATTTTTGCTCGCAAAAGACAGGAATGTAGACTCCAGATTTTAGAAAAAGTCATCTCCCATAGGGATTACACGCAAAAAGTAATGGATTAAGTGAAAATAGGGTAATAATAAAGTAAAAAGGGTTATTTATGACATTATCTGCGAATCTACGTGTTTAAATAATCAAAGGAGATGGTACAGTGAAGGTCAAAAGGAAAAAAAAGTGAAGAAAAAAAAGTGTTGGAGACACCCGGACTCGAACCAGGGATCTCGAGGTTGGAAGTCAAGTGCGTTACCGATATACCAAAACATCTCCCATAGCGATTACACGTAAACGGGAAATGGAATTCAGAAATCCTACTTTGCAAGTGAAATATGAGCATGATCCCGGCATCTAATCGAAAAAAAAGGCACAGTTTTGATAGCTCATTGTCTCAGTTACAACATATCCAAAGCTCAGCGAAAACAAAGCTAAAACAACGGAGATTTTGCTCACGAAAGACAGGAGTGTAGAATCCAGTTTTGAGAAAAAGTCATGTCCCATAGAGAATACACGCAAAATGCGAAAAATCGACATGCCTCCTTTAATCGCAAAAACACACCATGATACTTTTGTCAAACTGGAAAATTTTGTGTACTACATTTGTAGAAAATTGTCTCAGCTAGAACATATCAAAATTAAAAAGAAAATTGATCTATATTTACAGAGATTCAATCAATTTTCCAAAAATATGCTGACGTCATAATATGCAAATTAAATTTTTGAGTTCGGAGGCCATTATGATGACGTCATGAGTTTATTGAGGGTCAAATGAGACATGAAATCATATCTCCGACTCATAATCTATCAACATATGAAAAAATATTAGGAGTTTCTATCTATTCTAAAGAGTTACAATGAATTTTATATAGGCATGTTTTTGCCCATGTATTGTGGATAAAGATAACGCAAATCCGCGCGTGCTGTCAACTTTGACGGACGCTCATTGCGTTAATAAAAGGTGAACAAATTATCAAAGTGCTTGGAAAAATGTACCGAATATGATGACAGAAAAAAAATCGGCGATTCTATGTTGCAAAATGCCAGTACGCGCGAAAATGCGCGCGCATGCGCGTGTGCGTAATTTCTTTATTAAATGCTCCATATGGCCTGAAACGTATGCAAAAAAAATTTGGGATGATTTAGAGCATTTTTAATTTTTGCGCGCGCGTAAACGCGCGGACGAACGCGCACGCGCGCATTTACGCAAGTTAATTGACCTGAAATTGACCGGACGGATATTGATCTTAATCGTGATAATTATGAATGAGAAATACTTTTCCGTTATGAAGATATGATCATAAGTTGATTTTCACAAAATGGCGCCTGGATGACGTCACGATGAGTTTGAGTTTTTGAAAAGTCACGCAGTTCTAAGTTAGGCTAAGATCTATCATCATGGCAAGTTTCATGATAATGGCTTTAGCCATTCTTGAGATATCCTGCGAACAAAATTGAGGAAGAATAATAATAATTTCTTCTATACAGACACAAAATAAATACTAGACTTTAATTCGTCACTTAGAC